ACCTTCCGATGGGTATTCGTTGTTGCAAACCTACGCATGACCATATAGGGTGCTGATTTTCTGACTTGACCTCTGCACACATTGACTTGTCGACAAAATGACTAGTATGTCCATACAGGCCATTCTCGCACCTCCAACAGCTACTACTGGAACATCGCCGCAGATACCATCATCTATGTTCGCCTCAATTCTGCCCGACTTTCCAGCCATCACGAATCCTTCCAAGCTTGAGCTGCCAGTCCGCCACAATGTCATGCACTATGTAGTCACTACTGGCCCTTCAGTATTTTGCCGACCCAGACGCCTCACTGGGGACCGCCTTGCCATTGCCAAAAGAAAATTCGACCACATGCTGCAACTGGGCATCATCCGTCCTTCGCCGAGCAGTTGGTCGTCAGCTCTGCACATAGTACCAAACTGTGACCCAGGAGATTGGTGCCCGTGCAGCGACTATCGTGCTCTCAACGCGTGCACCATCCCTGATCATAATCCCCTCCCTCACATTCATGACTTCTCTGCCAACCTTGCGGGAGCGGTGATATTCAGCAAAATAGACTTGGTAAAGGCCTACCACCAAATTCTGGTTGAGCCCAAGACTGTAATTGCGACACCATTCAAGCTTTAGAGTACGTTCACATGCCGTTCGGGTTGAGAAACGCTGCACAGACGTTCCAGAGGTTTATCAATGAAGTAACCTGTGGATTACCTTTCGTATTTGCGTATATTGACAACCTCCTTGTAGCTAGCGTTTCTCCCGAACCGCATTGCAACCATTTGCGCTTCCTATTTTCTCGGCTCCAGGAACACGGCCTTCTCATCAACCCCGCAAAGATTTTTTTTGGTGTCGAAGACATCGAGTTCCTCGGACATCGTGTGACTAGCGAGGGCATCGGACCATTGGACAAGAAAGTTGAAGACCTAAGCGACTTCCCTTTCCCAACACCTGCCCAAAAACTCCGCGAGTTCCTTGGGCTTCTCAACCTCTACCGCCGGTTTCTCCCCAACATCGCTCGCATAATCATACCGCTCGCCAACCTACTCAAGACTACCAAAGCTCCATTATCCCTCCTGAAATAGACGTCTGATGCCGAATTGTCTTTCCAAGCTGCCAAAAACGCATCGGCAGACGCCACACTGCTGGTGCATCTTCTGCATGTTGCACCAATGCATTTTGCACCAAGCATATTGATTGCCTAGCACTAACGTTGTAGTAATTTGACACATTTACAAACAGTTCTTCATAGCTGGCATCTAAAAGGGTTAGGCATTAAAAATTTTTTTTAAGCCCCAAAAGTAGGAAGGAAAAAAAATTTCAGTTGTCAAAAATAGACAGGCAAAGCATGTTTAAGCCTCTAATGTCATAATTGTAGGCGAAGTAAATTTTTAAATAAATGCGAATAATTTCAAAACAAAGATGTACACGAGCTGTATCTACGTCAGGAAAGTGAGAAAAGTTATTGCATATAATGGCACAAAAACGCTAACAGTTGAACATAGATGTGCAATTGTTCTTGTTTTTGGATGGTTTGCAGAACATGGTCTCTCCTTTTATTCTCTATCATAGTGAGCCAAGGATCCACTGTTGAACGAACACATTCCTGGGTGTCTTTTTTTTTTTTTTGGCATGATTTAAGAGGGCAGCACAGGAGCAGATAGCAAGCTGCATAGACAGGATTCCCGAATAAGGGGTGGAGGCCACAGTTTTACCACATCCCTGCTGGTCAAGTCCAAAAGACAAGATGCTTCACAATCGATGAAAAAACAAAAATGAAACTGGAACGATGACACAGTGGTTTTTCTTTGGTCTTTTGAAGGGAAGACAGGAAGTACACATAGGGTGCTGCCTACATGAGTGAAAAGCCTACATGATCATGACTGCGTAGATGTGTGTGGGAGGCCTGTGCGCCTCTGTCCTGCATAATCAAGGGACATGGGCGCTTCCTCTGCCCTCCTCGTATGCACCGTGACTGAACCGCTAGAAGATCAGAAGGTAGGAATGCTTGTACTGGCCTGGTCTAACTGCATATCTCAGACACACGAGGCTTTTGGTTGACTCCCGTGACCCTCACGTCACTGTCTTTGCTCCGCTTTTCCATTATTTCCTTACTAAGTATATTCGTGAGCTGAGTATGTTCGTGAGCTAGTTTAAGGCATTTTTCAGTGAGGCCTCCCATGTATTCACCATGTTTTGAAACATAATCGTGGAACTAAAATTATATTTCGCAATCGGCGTACAGATTGGAGTCATTTTCCAGTAAGCTTTCGACATGGCTTTAAAATGCTAGCACCAAATCTCCTTCAAAAATAACTTGTACATGAGACATGAGAAAGTTTCCTTTCACGTGGCAGTGTTTAACGCCCAATTGTAATTCCCCCTCCCCCCTCCCCCTACACACTTCTTTCCTCACTGTCCTTGTGGAACTAAACTGCATGACGGCGGCCCACTGGCTGAGCTTAGTTTGAGACTCCTGGCATGTGAAGGGAGTTTATCCCCTGTCAGTGACCACATTAGGAAATAATTCAGAAGCAAACTAAAAAAAAGCCATGTGCACATCACATTTCTTTTCTGTTCTCAAACACTGTACTCTTCATTCTTCTTTGCCCTACGAGACTTTATGTTCGCCAACTGTAAACATTGCAGCAGGTGCAGTGGCGTATGGCAGCCAGTATGACTGCTGGCTATTGTTTTTTGGACATTTGTTGAACCGGAAGACGGCTGAATGTTGCAGGGGATTGAACAGTCATGGTAACATCAAAACTCGGTGTTTCTTTATGCATTCACCTAAGATGACTTCAAGGTGAAAGCCAACCTCTTTTTTGTCTCAGATGCTGCACTGATGCTGCCCTTGCACTTAAAGGGCCACTCACCAGGTTTGGCAATTTTGAGCTGACAAGCGCAATGCGTAGCCGAGACGTTCATGATCACGTCTGCCAAAATTTTCAACACTAAGCGCCGCGGAAATGGGTCAAATTTCAAGATGAACGCTGCTCCCCCTCCCCTCTGCCGGCGCATGCCTAGGGAATGAGGGCATGATGTGGACGTATGAATGGCCCTACGTACACGGCAATGCAGTGACGTGGGTCATCTACATAGACGACTCTGCTCTGACGTTGTCAGCAGTATCCCACGTGACATGCAAAAGTTATTTAACACAACATGCGTAGTTTATGTATTTGTTGCTTTAAGAGATTAATAAAACTTGAAATAAATAATGAGACGCAATAAAAAATTGTGCGCGTTTTTCCTTCATTTTTTCCCATGAAATGCTACGAGATGCGGGGCTAATGTGCCAGCGTTTCGCATGCGTTCGTGTCCCCACAGTCAGGGCACTGAGCAGACGACCCCCGTTGAACGCTCCTACGCGTTCGCGCACTCATGTGCTCATCTACTCTACCGCATCTAAGCCAGCGTTTCCAAATCATCCGGCAGAAACAGGCAGAAGACCACAAAATAACGCTGGTCAACAAAGCAACGCTGCTCGTGTGCTCGGGGGTTGGACTTGTTTGGGCACGTCATGCGCATGTCCCCTCTTGGTCGGATGCCGGAGAGGGTGAGGAAGAGATTTTGCTTGCGAAGGCTACGCGGAGGAGCGGCAAAGGTTTTGAGCTCGCCTCCTCTCATCCTCGTTTCGCGCCGCTTCCAAAAACCTGTTTTCTCCACTCGTGGTGAACCGATTCAAAAACATTTAATGGCAAGATGTTCCTCATCGGACATCCAACAACTTCCACTGTCTAACTAAAATTTGGTATGGGGCCTGGTGAGTGGCCTTTTAATGCGGCTTGGCACTGCCCTCAACATCAGAGGCACCTCACCTGATCTCGCGTGCCTCTATGATCGGACCGCTATTGACCAAGCTACAACGCGATGCAATCACGTCATCATGTGAAATTACGTTACATGATGTCCCTCTGATGTCACAAATTTTGGTGATCTGAGACATCACCGTGATGTCGTATGACAATATCATATATGGTGAAGATTTTTCACATCACCCATCCCCAACACTACAGTATGCCAGGTGCCATTGGCATGGCACGCCAACTGTCAAGTGTCAAGTTTGATAGGGCATCTTAGGTTTCCGACTCAGTAACGACTTCGAACTACACTCAAAAGCGAAATTTTAGGTTAGTGTTCGTATAGGTGCCTATTACTAAAATAAGCATTTATAGAAACTTATAAGTATTTAGGCACAAATTCCAAAAGCAGGCATTATTATGCACTACAAAAATACTATGGGGGCCCTTCTTAACCTCTTATTTATGTTCACATATCAAAGTGGGGTGATAGGAACACAAGGAACAAAACAGGAATTTGCCTGAAATCCAGTCTCTGGTCATCACTCTCATTAATTACCTTGAGCATGGGCAGGACTGTGCATTGGTGGCCAGGCTTTCATATTTGGACATATCTAGTAATCAAAGGTTTAGAGAAAACCTAAAATAGCACACAAGCACTTTTGCATTGCACTCGGATTAAAATCACAGCAGTGAGCACAACACAGCTAATGAGACTCCAGAGTTGCTTGGCAACTATGCAGTTGCACAGTCCATGTCACATTGACATATGGAGGCACGGTTCTCACGATAATAAACTGAAGTTTGGCCTTTGTTCTCTCTTCAAACAACCCCCCCTAATGCAAGATCGCAAAATAAGCCAAAAAAATTCTTTCTAGCTTCACGTCATCATTCTAAGCAAATTTATGGTTGCTCTGTCATGTGATGGAGAGGTGCAGAACATTTCTTCATAGAGAAATTAAACCCTAAAATTTTTACAGGTTTGCACATTTCACGTGCATGGCTTTCACAGCACGACAGATAAAATGAAAATCGTGTCCTATCAACCCACCGGTGCTCAGCTCGCGCCTCAGACTGGTGGTGGGCAGCTCTGATCTCTAAAAACCAGCTACAATGCTTCTCTTGCCCTTCACCGCAGCCCTGCAGTTCTAGACACAACAGTGACGCAAGAAACTTTCACATACGGTTACCTTCCCAAAACTAACCTGTGTTGTTGGAGCGCACAAAGGACATCACTACGGCCTCCTTTTCACGACCCTGGAAACCATCGATCGAGCTGATCTCCAAGCCAGGATGCCGGGCAGAGAGTCGAAGCCTGATGAGCTCCACCTGAATATGGAACAAGCAATATGCACTAGACACGCAATGAAATGGTACGCCAATGGGCGTGAAGGCAGTAGTAGAAGCAGGAGCAGAACTTCATAGGATGCGCCACTGCCTCTGCACAAAGCCAAGTAGTAGCAGAAGTTGTAGCAGTGGTAGTAGCAGAGGTAGTATTAGTAATAGTACGTCTAGTTGTAAAACAATGGGCTAGTAGGATGCCTTGGCTGCATCTAACCCAAGGTACGTCAGCATACAAAACTGGTTTTATACAAAACACTGATTCGCCCTGTTCCTCAATATGCATTCAAGGTCTGGTTCCCATACACATACTCTGAAATATGCCCAATCTATCTTGTATTATTTTTAATACCTAGAGTTGCAGTACCTCACAGGCTTTACCCCTACAATCATTGAACACTAAACCTCTACTCTTGTGATATCAAACCGAAGCTTAAAAATTTTTATATGCAATTGTAAACTCTTCATTCTGCCTTTCTGATGATAATGTCATCACATTTACTAGCAAAAGTTGTACCCATTGTTCCTACACTAGAAACGTAGTCACTTTATTTGCTTGTACTAATAAATTGACACAGCTTTTGAAATCTCCACTGTAAGGTACCCTCCTTAACACTAAATATTCCACAGCTGCAATTGAAGAACATCTTACAGAGATGTAAACTACCTCACTTTGCTGTTGCTCACTAATGTGTGTAATAGCTCTCTTGTTAGTAGTATTCTATAGCATTTTTTTTAGTGTCTTACTAGTATTATTATGTAACTGTCCCCACTCCTGCTAAAAAAGTGCAGTATGTGTAAGTGAAATATATAGATAAAAAACAATAAAAAAGAAATAAATAAACTGTACATTCTATCAAATGGTGTTTTATTGTGCAGTAGTAGCCAATTGTATCTGTATCCCATGGTATCCCATCGAGATTCGGGGTTGTGCATTGAACTACGCACCTGAATCCTTCGGAATTAGTGCCAGTGGCAAGTTGTCTTTCCATCCACTTTTGTTTCATCGCATCTGTATCATGATTATGACAGTACCTTTAAAACAGTACAATTAATGCTCCCCATCTCTTCTACGTTTTTATTATCCGCTGGTTTTCATAAATGGTTGGCCAAGCACAACAGAGGCACACAGCCCTGTGGGGTCTTTGGTGTCGGTGAATAGCTGGCTGGCCAATGCTAGTCGAACCCCTTCATAAGAGACACTGATATAAGAGAAGAATGGGTATAAGAGAGTGCCTACAGTAAAGTTCAGGTTGATAAGAAAATGCAAACCTGGTACCTGCTTATAAAAGACACGTCATATAAAAGACAAAAATTGCTGCCTCTTATCCTCTTATCTTAGCTTGTAGTCGCTTCTGCATTGTAGACAAGAAAACCTTGTCCGGTGGCTCCGACAAACGTCAATACCTAAAGCACACATCGCACACGTTTGGGATAGTTAAAGCCACTGTGGTAGAATAGAGTTCAAAGATGCAAAATATTAACAACAATAATATCTAAAGTTTAATGATCTAAAACCACAATATGATTATGAGAAATGCTCTATTGAAGGGCTCCAGAAATTTCGACCATGTGTTGTTCATTAGCATGAGCTGACATTGCACAGTTAATTGGCCTCTAGCAATCCACCTCCATTGAAATGCACTTAGGATCGAACCCACTACCATCAGGTCAGCAGCCGAGCACTGTAACTGCTACACAAGCCGACTAAGGCAGAGAGGGCTTGGGCATTTAAATTCCCGTTTCATTACCGAATGCGGCCATCAGTGATTCACACCTCAATAATGGTGCATACAGCTCTCAGGACTGTTGATAGAGCTGCTCTCCCAATCAGCAGGGGCACGCCTGAAAGAGGCTAGGTAAAACTGGTGAGAGAGAATTTCTTTAAAACAGGCATGAGGAATACAGTAAAACCTCGTTAATTCGAACTCGGTTATTTCAAAATCCCGCTTCATTCGAAGGATTTCCACGGTCCCTTATTTTGCAATGTGAGCTTGAGTGGATAATTTGAAGCGGCGGCCAGCACCAGTCTGGTTAATTAATTCGAAAACTTTGGGTGCCATATGTGCCAGTTTCAGATCCCGATTTCGCCGCGAATCTGCGGAACGACGGCTATTAATAGCAACAAGGCAATGCAACGTATCGATACTAACGAGTGGCAGCCTCGCTACTTCCAGCGAAAAAAAAAAGAAAAAAAAATCGGTCTCGTGATCAATCGAAACGTGCGCCTGCGGAAAACGAGCCATGCTTCACTGCAACACAGCGATGACACGCGGGCAGCTTATCGCACATTTCTCGTAACGTCAGTGGGATTCTTTCTGGGGTTGTAAAGAAATTAATAAAGAACAGTTTCGCGAAAATCACGATGAATGCGAACCTCCCATTGCTGGTTGTTCCAGCAATTCATGTCTTGGCACTGCTGGCGAAGGTTTTGCCAGCAACACCTACTTCGAAAACTAAGTTCGAAAGTTTCAAAGATCATTTTTTCCACCCAAAACACATCGTGAGCCTCGTCATAGTCTCCAATAGTAAATTCATAGTTATAATAGAAAGAATGTGCGAATGGTAGCATCATGACGTGCTGACAGAGCGAAGAGCAGGCGACATGCTGCCCGCATATCACGACTGTGTTGCTGTGAAGATGTATTGTTTTCTGCAGGCGCACATTTTAATCAATTGCGACCGCATTTTTTTTTTAGGTGACAACAGCGAGGCCCACAGTTTCTTCATGTTTGAGGCAAAACAAAGTCCAGGCATTGCTGGAAAACATGACCTTTGGAGCCGCAAGCTAGCCGGCACAGCAAACGACGAGCACTGATATACTTTTAATAGTTTTATAAGTTCCTTGCTTCCCGCTTCTTGTATGTTCTGTTCATTTGAAAACCCACTTTAATTCGAAGCTTTCTCGTGGACCCAGTGACCTAGAATTAATGAGGTTTTACTGAACTTAAATACTACACCTAGAGTATTGTTAGCAAGCTTGTGCTAATAGTGCTAAAATGTGCTAACCATTGTGCAGCATACTGGGTTTCTACTTTGTCCCACCATTACTGGAGATACTACACATTTAGTTTTGATGTTAAGGTCTGGTTGTGGCTAAAAAAATATCGGCCTTGATTTACTGCTGACACCGGAATGTGAATGACCCTGCCTTCGGAAAGAACTGCCACGTGCACGCGCGGGGCTGCTTCTTCAACGCGCCGTCATGGCAGAGCCTCATTAGACAACTCAAGTTGTACTCAGCTACACACAGCGACACCAAAAGACAGGGTCAAACACATGGTTTGTCTTTTTGTGTCCCCGTGAAGTGTTGATTTAACCAGCATCCCCGTGAGTTCAGCAATTTACATAGTCATGCACAATGATGATTGTTGCTGCTTCTTACCTGAAGGTTATAAGGTGAGATCACGGCGATTTCGGACGCTGGAACACCGCTCGAGACTAGCCGTTTGACGTGAATTGCCAGAAGGTCAGCTTCCCCTGCAAGGACAAAACCCAGTGAGGACAGGGAGGTAAAGTATAAACAAGGAGGGAGTAGAGCCATTTACTTTTCAAGTCAAGCCGCTTTTGCGTCTACACTTATTTGCAAGAATTGTGCTCTTTCCCCACTTGTCTAGGAAGACGTGGCGCAAGCATCATCCTCGTAAAAAAAGAAAATCTGTGCACTGAACGGGAACAGTCGCATTGCAGTAATCCAGTGGCTATAATATAAAAGCATTGAGGGCAAAGTTGTGGGTTTATTTTAGCTGTGGCAGCTGCATTTTAATGAGAATGAAAAAATGAACCTAACACTTCTGTGGCCCTTTTTTTGGGTGTGCAATGGGAGAACCTCGGGTGGCCATTCTTCGGGAAAGTGCCCTACCAAGACATGCCACATACTCAGAGAGCTATACTTCTATTTACAATTGCTGCTGTCTCCATTCGAGACACTAAAAAAGGGGGTACATATTTTAGTATGACAATCAATAAAAAAAAAGAAAATAAAACTCAAATTACACCAACAGATGAAAATATGATATGCTTACATGAATGTTCAACAGAATCATTATGAGCTGCAAGTACCGATGCTGATAGGAACACAGAAAAAGAACAACTGCTAAGAAAATACAAAACAGATTAGTATAACATGATAGGGTTAGGCAGTTTCTCAACGAACCATTCATGAGACAATTTGCAAAGCAAACCATTTAAGTTGTTCCAAATCTGAAAAAACGCAAAATTTAAAACAGTCGATGCGTGCTCTGAAAGGAATAATGTTTAGAGTGTGGGTTAGTCTAGTGGCACATGTATTCTGGGGTATAAAAGAGGCCCGGATACCGGGTGGCATGTAGACAATCTTGTGTAGTAAAATTATGCATTCGCGTTTTTGCCTATGTTTTAAGTTTTGTAATGATAAGATGCAAGAACCTGCCACGGAGGAAGGAATACCGAGGAGGCGCCATATGTCACAATTTGTGAAGCCAAAAAAGGACTCCCTTCTCAGAAGGTTGGCCCTGCTTCGGCCCGCTCGCGCAACTGGTGCTGCTGAGAGGAAGGCGAGCCAATGTCGGAAGCTCCTGAAGGCAGTGCCGCTGCCAGCTGACAAATGAGCTGAAAAATCTAAACTTTCGAGCCAATCAAGCGCAAACGTGCTGCAATACTCGCCTGTAGGCTGCCTGGGTGCCCCTCGCAGCCTCATTGCAACCCATACAACCGACTGTTGCAAGAGAGCAACAGTGGGACTCAGCCACATAATTGCCATGGATACGGCAAATTTGAGGTATGGAACATAACGCAACAGTGAAATCTAATTTGGTCTTGCTATTTGCGAAGAGGAAGCACCTCCAAATCATTCTTTGGCCGTGTGTGTCACGACATGTCCACAAGAGGGTCGGCCAACTGCGACCATGTTCAAAAAACTTGGCCACAGATGAGGTTATTGCACACAAAACGTAAGCAGGGTGCAATAATTCAAATAGTAAATTGCCTTACTGTGTGAAACACTATTGGGTCAGGCATGTCAGTAATTGTTGACTCTGGAAGCTCCAGTGAGCACACAGGAGCAGTTCACTGTCGCCTCTTGCATTAAGAGCCGCAGGCACTGCCGTTCTCGTCTTCCTTGGAATTATAGCATTCCATCGCTATAAGCGCGCAATAGCACAGTGCCAAACAAAAATAGCGACGCTGCGTGTCGACCATTTTTGGAGAAGCGGTCATGAGAATCTCGAAAACAACCGCTTTCAACCCCACGCGATATGAACTTGCAACCATGACGACCAACTCTCACTGTAGGCTTCCAACACACTGCATCACCTTTAAAGTGCAACAGCGGTATAAAAATGCCCATTCGGCTCTCCTAGCAACACGACTATATGGGGGGTGATACAGACGACATGAGATGATGGCATAACCGAGGAATCCCACAAGCCCCCTTTCGCTCTGCAGCTCAGATAGCGAGGGCCTCTCCTTAATTTTGTTTTCTTTATGGGAGATGTGATATAAAGATTGAAGATGAATCTGATAGTGTTTTTCTGAAATTATTCGAGCTGCTTTATATCACATGTGAGGTGGGGAGACCATATGTTAAAGTGTAATTTAGCATCGGATGAACTTAGAGATTTGTAGACAGTTTACATTCCAAGGTTGCATTTTTTACAGTTAGCTTAATGTAGCCAAGTTTCCAACATGCTTTTGCAGAGATGTGGTTGATATGGGCACACCTTGTTAGGTTATGCGAGGAAATAACATCCAGATATTTGAAGTCACTAACTTGGGACAAGTAACTACCACTGGCATTGTGAGAGTAATGGAGCGGCTTCTTTTTGTTACTGAAAGTCATGGCGACTGTTTTGGTAAAATTAATTTACATTTGCCCCATATTGCTCCATTTGCAGGACATCGAAAACACCTTATTTCATTCTCATTGATCAGCTGCATTAGTAACAGTGGAGTACAGGGCACAGTCATCTGCATGTGTGTGCCACTTGACAGTGATGTTATTTAGAACATTTATATCATTAAATACAAATAACGAAGGTCCGAGCACTGAACCCTGAGGCACTCCAGATGTGAGTACACGCAATCAAAAGTTACAAACCGAGATATCAAGTGTAAATAGTCAGATATCCAGTCAAATTATTTAGACCCATTTAATATAGCTCACAGTCAACATAGAAGTTTTTTGTGGCAAACCATGGCTGTTTCGACACAAACACCAAACCGTCCAACAGATTACACTGTACATAAATAGTGTGGGGGAAAAAGCAAAGCATTAAAAGTCAAGAAATGCACCGAGAACATGTTTAAAAGAAAATCAGAGCAGCTTTGTGCCAAGGAAGTGCAAAGCTGGGCAGCCTTCTCTCTTCGGTTTTCTATTTCTTCTTTCCTGGTCTTTTCTGTCTTCTTTCTCTAGTTTTCTTTTTTTTCTTTTCTTTCTCTCTCATTTTTCTATTTTTAGCCTGCGTTACACCAAGAGACGAGAGCATACAACAGCTTGAGTCCCTAAATTGCTCCACACTTGAAGAACAGTCTTGCATACTTCCTTGAGCTTGTCAGCTAAATCTACCTTGTAGGTGGATGGTGCTGTCACAAACATCTACACCCACATAGGTGCCACAATAGTCAAGCAGTGTGAATGATACGGGATTTCAGCAGCAGATAATTGCCTCGGCTGTAGACGGAGAGAAAAAAAGACATTTGATGAAATACGTACATATAAAAACAAAGCATGTGGTTGGGAACCCTAGTACAGGTTCCCTATGATGGTCTCGCCGACCTGCTGAACCAAAGCCTGGTGGACCTCGGGAGGCCCATTGCAGAGGGCGTCATCCCACAGTTCTTTGGTGCAGATGGCAGGGGAGAAATGGCAAGGGAGAAAATAGTTTTGCAGGCCACTCCCTCGTGACATGAAATATCGTTGAGGAGCTGCCCGAGCAAAAGTCTGCATACTGGTCGGGGTAGAACTTATGCATGAAGAGGAGGTTGGGGTAGGTATGCATTTGGATTTGGTTGAGTGCCACCTCTTCTTCTCGTGAAAACAACGATGGTGGCGAGTGCATGATGTGTCTAGCTCTGGTGTAGTATGTTGATATGTCTTAGGAAGGGCCACATGATCTGTACTTTCGGCCTGCCATGCTGGGCAGCTCTGTGGGTAAGTTCTCGAACGAATGCGTGAGCGGGATCATTTACAGAGTTTCCTATATATACACTAGCGGGAACTCTGGCACTAATGTCTATGAAAGCTGCAACACCTGGTGCTTCAGCGAGCATGGGAATTATGCGTAGTACATGGATTCGCCTAATTTTAATACTTTCGGCTCCGTTTGGCTTTATGTGGCCTGAAGCTGCTATGCTATGAAACAATAATCAGCATTAGGTTATCAGTTACTTTTCACCACCTTAATCTTTTAGCCTCACCAAATCAAATTGGGTAATGAAGTTCAAAATGGTTTGTTCTTTTATTCGAAACAAAACCAAAACACTGCAATAAATGAAGCCGCAAATGCGTTTGCAGCCCACAATCACGAAAACAAGGCAAATCCATGTACTACCCATGGAAACTGAACGATCAAATTTTAGAAATCTCTATGGGATCATTACTCAGCGCAGAATTGGGACCAGGAGTTTGTAGCAAGTGAATGAATACGTTGTGGGCTGAACGTGTCTATGTTCAACGTCTTGCGTAAGATGTGGCAAGCTGCCTTGGAGAAGCCCTGTCCTACTAAAGAGCTCAGCATGCTTGCTGTGAATGTGAAGAGTGTGTCATACAGCAAGTGCGACACCAAGATAAGACAGATGCTTGGGAAATCAACATATTTGCACAGCGCAAGACTACGAGTAGTGAACTACAGAAGACAAAGAATACATAACTACAGAAGAGACAAAGACAGAAAGAGCGCTACGAGTAGTTACGTCGTAACTACTTGTAGTCTTTCGCTGTGCAAATACAGTCGAGCCCGCTTATAACGAACCTGAGCATGACGCGGCATTTATTCACTGTATCTCGAGTTCGTAGTATGTAAATGAAACAACTCTTTAAAAAAAATTGCGAGTGAAAACACAAACATTTAGCCCCAAAAAGTCTGTGATGCACGTGTTTCGAAGAGCAGAAGCGATAAGGGCGGTCTCGAGTTCATTTAAATTGGCAGGCTGCTCGTTCGCCGAGGCCCGTGGCATAAGCTGCATGAGGCACTGGCTCCAAAGTTTCATCGTTCTCGCAATCAGGTTCCTCCGTATCGCTCTCACCAAGTACTTCATTCACAACGCCCTAATCTGTGCACGGTTCCCCAATGTCAGCATCATCATAGGCCGTAATTAAACCATCGCAACAGATGTCCCACCCGCTCTCCAAGGAGTCGACGACGCGCTACACAAATTGCCGCCGCAGTTCGAAACCTTCAGGCTCGGCATCGGGCTCGACGTCGACGAAGTCGGCCTCGCAAAAACAGTTTCGCGCGCATGTAGCTGTCACCGCCGTCCACGAAATATTAACTACAGTAAAAGCTCGTTTATTCGACACTCGTTAATTCAGAAATTCGGATAATTCGGACGGCTCTATTGGTCCCGGCCAAAGTGCATGTTAATCTATGGGACCAAACCTTCGTTATTTCGTCGGAATTCGGCTCCGCACCGCTTAATTCGGACAAATGCTGACGGCTGCTGTTACACAAAAGTGTGATAAAGCAGCGCTGGCACCACTGGAGTGAAACCGAAACCTGAGTGGCATCGCCATCATCATCAACTAGTGGGGACGATCGCTGCGTCACCGAACGTCGGCGTCTTCTTCCTTCTCCACTCAGCGCCTCCGACGCCATTTTCCCTTGTGTTGTCGTGTCGGAACCATCTCTTCTTGCGGAGTTCTCTTTTTCTTCCATTGTGACCGTATTTGCATGCCACCACCATCGTGCGCTACAGTGATGGCAACGCCGAAAAAGCAGCAGAACTACGACGCGAAGAACTTGGCGACTAAAGTGGAAATTTTGGAAGCACTGAAGAACGGCGAATCGCGACAGCAGGTTATGACCAAGTACAACGTGAAGCAGAGCACGTTGGGAACGTACGTGAAAAATGAACAACAGATTCGACAAGCCTTCGAAAGCGAGAAGTTTCATGCCTCTAGAAAGCGGTTGCGAACCGCAGCTCATCCCCAGCTCGAAGAAGCTTTGCTCCGGTGGATTACTGACTGTCGCAACGCGCATCTGCCTTTGAGCGGACCTTTCATCATGGCGCAAGGTGAGAAGTACGCTGCAATGATGAACATTGAATCCTTCAAAGCGTCAGAAGGGTGGTTTGCGAGGTTTCGAGAGAGACACGAACTTGTCTTCAGAAGTGTGTGCGGCGAAAAGGCCAGTGTTGACGAAAGCGTGACCACCGAGTGGAGAAATGTGAAGCTGCTGGAGCACATCGCCGCATATGAACCACGTGACGTGTTCAATGCAGATGAAACTGCTCTATTTTTCAGAGCTCTGCCCGACAAGACAGTGACTTTCAAAGGGGACGCGTGCATTGGTGGCAAGAAGTGCAAGCAAAGGATAACTGTGCTTCTTGCCGCGAATATGACTGGCACGGAGTGCTTGCCACTACTTCTCGTCAAGAAGGCGCTTAAGCCACGTTGTTTTAAGAACGTCAAAAGCCTTCTTGTCAAGTACACAGCGAACAGGAAGGCATGGATGACATTGGACATTTTTCGCGGCTGGCTGCAGCAGTTGGACCAGCACTTCACGTCGAAGGACCGCAAGATAATTATGGTTGTTGACAACTGCAGTGCCCATAACTGTACAGTCGAACTGAAGAGCATCAAAATAGTTTTTTGCCGCCCAACACTACGCCTGCTCTTCAGCCGATGGACCAGGGTATCATTCACTACGTGAAGTCGAAGTACCGCAAGCACCTGCTAGAGCGAATGATCCTATGCTCAGAAGCTGGAAAGTTGTATCAAGTGGACTTACTCGGCGCAGTGCACATCATCGCCCATGTGTGGAAAAACACTCCGCCACAAGTAACTGCCAACTGTTTTCGGCACAGCGGTTTTGTGAGGCCCGAGCATGCAGCAGTAGCTGACGATGGCATCGAGGAGGTGTCAGCCGAGTCCACCGACGATGACTGCCCGACTTTCGATGCTGTCCTTCCCACAGATGTGACCTTTCAGGACTACATCGCGATTAATCATGGTGTCGCCACAAGTGGTCTCCTGACCGATCAAGAAATTATTAATGATGTCACGGGCGCCCATGAAGACCACGATTCCGACGAAGAATCATGCGAGGAGATACAGCTGCGACCTCATCGCACCTCACGGGAAGTCTCGGAGGCGCTGTTAATATTAGAGGACGCTTGCCTAAACACTCCCGACAGCTTGCGTGCTGTTGGCCATTTGGAACAGTTAAGAAAAATTGTGATGTCAGCCGGAATCTGCGCGAAAACGCAGACGACAATTACAAAATACTTCAACAAATAAAGGTATGCTTCTGCAGCTTGATTTTAAATGTTGTTTTCCCTGTTCATTCGTTAATTCGGCATTCGGTTAATTCGGACAGTTTTTCCGGTCCCGTGAAATCCGAATTACCGAGCTTTTACTGTATCTCTGCAGCTGAATGCCGCCATGCCCGAAGCGACAAGCTGGCTGCCAGGTAGTCAACAGCTATGAGCAAGCGCTTCGCAACGCGGCACCTAACGCGCGGATTATGCTCAAGCTAAGCGGTCACACTTTTGACGTTTTGTTGAGCGGCAGGAAAAAGCGTGCTAGTCCTTCAGTCGGCCATCATGACCACACACGCACACCAAGAGCGAGCAAGACGCGCACACGCGACACACATGCCAGAACACGTGGAGCAGCTCTGGGGCCGTTTCCAGTCAAAAAACGAAACTGATTCGAGCCAGCATGGCGGGCGTCGTGACGCGGTGGAGACGGGCTAAGGGGTTGTGATCAAGAGAGGAGAACAGATTTGAGAGAAAAGGGCAAGGAGTTGCGATAAAGAGAGGGGAGGATGCGGCGGGAGGGTGACCTTGAAAACCAAAACACACGGGAAGGAGGCAGGTTGGGTAGCTTGCTTGGAAGGTCCGCGAAACTCGCACGTAGAAAACTTCAAGAGAGTGCCTGCGCGCGCAGAAGTCACAGCATGACCGCCTGGATCGATGCGCGCGGCGGTGTTCGAAGAATCGGCGGCCAGGGTCAAAAATCGTTTTGTTGCACCGATGGGTTTGCGTGGCCTCACGAACTTCAATATTTGGTGATTCGTTTCGCACAAATTGACAGCCATTTTCGCGCTTCCGCACGTGTGCACGAGGCATGCTGAGCCGAGTGCGAAGTGAGCTAGAACAAGGTAGAACTTTTCAAGACATTGTTGTGTACTGTATACTGGATGGATATTTTTGTCTTAGCTTGCTTGTTTGACTCATCACAACTGAACAGCAAGGTAATGAAATGGTAAGTGTGCCTACTACCTTCGTTTCCCTTGGACTCGTCGTCCGGAGTGTCCAGTTCGACCATTCCGCAACCAGCCGTGTCGATGAGAAGAAGTGGCAGTGCAGTGTCATCGTTGTCTTCCACTCCAGGAAGATCCCTAGAGGGAACATGTTTTTGCAATTTATCACAAGACGACGTGGCCGAGATCCGATGCATGAATTATGCTCAAAATAAGAAAAAAAGCTTTTGGTGTACGAACAGTCAAAAGTTGAGCTATGTTTCCACACATATAAGTACACAGTGCAGCACATGCAAGGTCATCAGTTCAAGTATTAAACATAGATTAAATGAGCGGGAATAAACATTGGGCAAAGCGTCACAGATATTCACATTCGTCATCATAAACAACTAAACACAGAGCTTTGTCGCTGAAGGATTGAGAGTTCCCAGTGTCTCCTCCAAGCACACACAGCAGACTGGTCTTCCCATAGAACAGTGCAATCCTGAATACTGAATCTGTATAATAATATGATAATAATCTTTATTCTGGCATGTTACAGTTACATGCCACAGATATCAGGCAAAAGGAAACAGATGTAACTGTTTCCTGACTAGGCCTATATCACAGCTGCAAACATTAGTGCCTTTTTGAATACAGTCAACTTTCATTAATTCAAATTCGAAGGGACCTCTGAATTTTGTTTGAATTATCCAGAAGCTTGAATTATCAGAAGTTCTCAGATATATAACTCTCGGTGAGGTGACACCCAACATTATGGTTAAGCATTGACTTCATGACATTAAAAAAAGTTTTCGGCATTTTTGAACCCTAACATAGGCTATTTATTACTAATCAGACCTTTTAAAAAAATCGTGAATTGCCAACTGCTTTTTTGCTACATGTGCCATTAGCACAAACCTCTCTATATCGGTTGAGAAGCATCATGGTTTACCCTGCATGTGCTTCGTTTCAAATATTTCTATACTAGCAAAGCCTTCTTCCTTGAAGGCCTGAGGCACTTATTTTTTATTTTTAGACGGTCAGGATAATATAAGCATACAAACAATTAAATAGTTGTGGGAAACCTGCAGACATTTTCTGGTGTAAAACTGCAAAAAGTATGAATTAACAGAATGACGGAGTTTAAATTAAGAATCACGGAGTTTAAATTAAGAGGCTTTTGAATTTGAATTAAAAGGCACTGAAAGAATAGAGGGCAAACCTAAAAATTGACTTTTGTTTGAATTAACTGAGAGTGTCAACTAGCAGAGTCTGAATTATCGCGAGTCTACTGTAATCTGCATCGGTGAGAAAACCAGCACGCAAAACCTTTTCGTGAACAGAACTTATTTCGCCTAAAACTCGACCATGCATTTGAAAATTGATAGAATGAATGAGAATAAGTCAGTCTTGCAAAATATTTGGGAGAGCTGACAAGCACACGCAAACCACCAGATAGCAACAAACCTGAGCAAATGTGCCGCAATCGAGGGATGTGCCAGCAGCCGTCCACCATAGAGGCGGTCAGACGACCAGCGCATGATGAGCTCGTGCATGCGGTACTGTGTCAGCAGCATACGAACGACAGCCTCGCCGTGCAGGCGCATAGCACGCTCCATCAGCGTCACCTCCAGGCCTCCTTTGGCCGCGCTGCGCACATCGTCCATCAGCCACAGTTTAGCCAAGCAAACATCACAACTTCCACAACACATATCTTGAAGATGATAATTGTTGGGTGATTACACAAATAAAGATGACAAAGTTCAACCAAGTTGCCCAGTTTACATATTTGCCAAGTTTATCACTGTTGCGAATTCGGTGAGTTCTTGTTGGTTGGTTTCTACACAGAAGCATAAAGTGAGGAAAACGTGACTGTGTACATAAGCTCGTCCCTCATGTTAGGCAACATTTCAAAAGTAACTCAAACACACTGCCAGTCTTGTGCAATTCGCAACAACCCCAGACACCCTGAGCCCTGCAAGAAAAAAGGTTGCCTCATTGGTCCATTCTAGACCCTCGAAAAAAATCTTCTGCGAAGCCTGCTACTGCACTGTTCATCTGCTCTTCCCCTCTACTCACAAATTTTATTTTTTGTAAAGGACCAGTCTTACTGCTGTCTTCTCTTACCTTCAAAATTAGGAGTTCAGTCTTTTAGCTAGTATTTAAATGGCTTAGGTTATACTGAACCATGACCATGGCATCAAAAAATCGATGCTAAAAGCTGCAAACACAGCAATATTTAGAGCATGTTCAGAAGGTAACTTTCACGAGCGGGTCTAATTTTCACGAGCGGGCAAAAACACACGAGCTCTGCCGAAGCAGGAATCAAATGAGTCGGCCCATCCCTGTTGCCTGGAAAGTGAATCAGATAACATAACCCGTGTGTTAGAACTGCCGTTCGAACAGAAAGTAAGCCACTCGTCTTGAATGAGCATGAAATAACGCGGAGAGGGGGGGAGGAGATCGCTCGAGTAGCAATAATGAACTTGCATTTTAAGAGCGGTCGTGATCACTGGCACGCTTGCTACCTCGGCGATTATCAGTGCGCTGTAAACGCGAAGAGACTGTGTGAAAAGAGCACTTCACTCTGGAGCGGCCGTATTTGCTCACACCAGCATTTGTAAGAGCTAGTTCCACGATATCGGATTCAAAATAGTTGGCTGCCAGCCTTACTTCTTATAACATCACAATTTCTTGCTATCATGTTCATTGCATTGCACTAAACGTGCACGAGTGTTGCCAAAACTAATCTGCTAATGGTGAAAGGTGCACTCTTTCCGGTGCCTGGTCAGCAAGCGAGGTGATCTTTGTGCGTCCAGCAAGTAAACGCAATCGTTCCGGTCAAAGATGAAGGCACACGATTCTCTCCGCCAAAGATTAAGCGCGCGCCGGCGCATCGTTGGCGCATCGTGACGAACTAGGCGCCAAGCGCAGGCCGCTTTTTTTGCTTTCTTGAGTTTTCTAATACATAGATACGTGAATATATATATATATATATATATATTCAATGGGCCAGTTAGTGTTCTTGAAGGTATGGGATATGGCACAACGGGAGCGTTGTCAACAAGGATAAATATATTTATTTCCCAACAGTTTTGGGAGGGGTCCTCCCTTCATCAGGAGATGAGTTGTACTAACATGAACTTCCAAACTTCGTTGCTGCCGGGTCCCTCTCGCCTTGGAAGATGTTTGCGAGAGTGAGAAAGAACGAAAAAAAGAACGAAAAGAAAAAAAAAGAAAAAATAGAGAAGAAAAAAGACGAAAAGAGTAAAAGAACAAAAAGAAAAAAAGAAAGTAAAAAAGAGGAAGAACCACTGTCAACACTGAGAACAAAACCACATGTCTGTGCACGTCCACATCCGGTTCTAATCCCGTGCCGGTCAGTTCTCGGCGTGTGTCGGGCCACCCAAGATTGTCGCCGCGGTGGCGGGAGCGGTCCGTGATGGCGTGCATAAGGAAAGGGTTTCCCCTCAATGGGTCGGTCGGCTCTCTTTCATCTTCGTCCGTTTCCCCTCAATGGTCATCAAGTGGTAGGCGAACAGAACCACTTTGTATGTGCATGTGAAAAAGAAAAAAAAAGAAGAGAAAAAAAAAACAAGAAAGGACAGTGTACACGTACGAGTCAGTCAGAAAAAACAAGCATGGTCTCCAGCTATCAATCTTTGTCACCAATTTCCTCCTGGCTTATTTCTCGGAGGCAGCAAAGTCTTCCGCGGTTCTCGTTGATGCCGGCTACTAATGTTCGAAATTTGAAAATAAAATATGCCTCACGCTGTTCACGCTCGCGTCTGTTTGAAAAACTGGACTGCAAAAGAGTTACGCTGATATTTTCAAAACTGTGGTTTGGCAGGCGCAGATGTCTAGATAAAGGTAGCTTCGGCAGTGAAGTGGCGTGGTACCGGTGATTATTGAACCGCAGCCGAAATGGCGTGTCTGTTTGGCCGATATATTCTTGTCCGCAGATGTTGCAATGCAGCATGTATATTACGTTACTGGAGTCACAATTAAGGCTTTCAGTTATGCAGAATTTGAAATCCGAGAAGTTCGCTTTGGATTCACGTGTTGTGACCATCTGTGGGCATACCTTGCATCAAGCTTTTCCGCAGGGATGGCACCCTGATTGAATTTTGGGGGTGTTTGTTTTTGCTCTGACAAGAATGTCCTTCAGTGTTTTATCCCTGCGGTACACCACGTGAGGTGGCTTTGCAAAAATAGAAGTTAGTCGTTTGCTTTGCCTGATTATATTGAAATGGCGGGAAAGTATGTTGTTGATTCGTGGCGCTGATGAGGAGTAAGTTAGTACAAGGTTCGTTTGGGAAGTCGTTATAGATACTTTGTTTGGTCCCTTAATTATATCATTCCTGTTTACGTTGCGAGCACGTTGTATGGCATCGTCAATTATGTCTTCCGGATAATTTTGTTTCAATAAAGAATGCTTTAGGTGTTCTGCGTGTCTGTCAAATTCCCGCACATCGGTGCATATTCTTCGGTACCAGTAGGCCTGAGAATATGGAATACCCATTTTGCAATGCTTTGGGTGGCTGCTGTTGAAAGGCAGGTACATTTGATGGTCTGTAGGCTTTTTGTAAAGGTTTGTTGACAAGCGGTCATTTTTGACCGTGACAGTGACGTCCAAGAAGTTAATGCTAGTTTTGGAAATTTTGTGCGTGAATTCAATTGACGGGTGGCACTTGTTAAAATCCTCTATGAAGCGAAAAAGACTTCCCTCATCGTGGTTCCATATCATAAAAATATCGTCTAAGTATCTTCTGTAGTAGAAAGGCTTCAAGGTGCGTCGCTCAATGAATGGGATTTCAAGTGAAGCCATAAAGGTGCTCGCGAAGTTTGGGGCCATTTTCGTGCCCATTGCAGTGCCACTGACCTGAAGGAAATGCTTGCCATTGAACTCAAAATGGTTATAATTTAGTACAAGTTCAAGAAGTGTAAACAGTACCTCGCCACTTACACTCGCTGATGAGTCAGTTTTTACATATTCAGAAACCATAGCCGCTATTCCGTCATGGTAGGGTATGTTGGTGTACAGTGAGCAGACGTCCATGGTCACCAGAAAACTACCGCCTGGGATGTCGAGACTTGAAGTTTCGCAGATGAAGTGATTCAAGTCTCGATGAGACTTCAAAAAAGAGCAAACGCCACCAACATACACAGATATCGAATGATCGGTAAAGCGCCCTCAATATGCAGCACAGCCCCACATAGGTGATGCTAACTAAAAGGGTGGCACAGCCAATGTGCAAAGGTAGACTCTTTCTTCTTTCTTTTTATTTTAGTATGGAGAAGTGGGGGGGGGGGGGGGGGGCACACCCACGCATGCGCCCGCGGCGGCGAGAACGGCGGCAATGCCGTTTCACGAGGTGCAGGCTCGCCTGCCTGCCTTGCGCAATAATAACGAGCGCACGCTTCTGCCTGATGCGCCGTGCGTGCCGCTGCCACTTCGAGCTTTATCAGCGGCAGGGCTGACACGGAAGATGCATGCTCATACCAAAATGCCCAAATGCGGAGCAAAATTCCGAGATTGTCCTTGGGGAAAATTCGTTATATTAAGGTTGTCTGTAGCTATTACTTTGTTACATAGAGGTCGCAAATACATGTGCTTTTATGGAGCAAAGGCGGGGAATAGAAAAACTTCGTTACAACAAAAAATTCATTATATGGAGGTTCGTTATAAGCAGGTTTGACTGTAACAGCAAGAGACAAGAATAATAGAAATGGAGAACCAACTGAAGGAACAGAAATAGAGCATATCAAGACTGTGTGAGCATGCCATCTGTGATTATTTCCTTAAAATAATTAGGTTTTTTTAAACTGTAGCTGATACGTCGAGCAAGTGTTTGTGGCGTCCGGCAGTTATGCATTTTGATGAGAGATAGGGGTACAATATCATGTCATTTTCTTTCTATCTTCTTTACTGTCCAGGTGTGCCCTCATGTCTAACTTCAGTTGCGAGCCAGCCCTGTTAGTGTGCTTTCTTCCTCTGGTGTGTCCCGTGTAAATTTTGTGCTGTTTTTAGATGTGAAGTACCTCTTTGACTAGCCTGTGTAACGCTGTCCCTCTTTCCGCACCACTCCCCTCACTGCAGGTGTTGGAGTGGCGCCAAATAGCTCACGCCCTCCTTGCAGTGCGAAGTAATGTCTCTCTCCCTTACCTGCCGTGCGCTTGCCACGTGTCAGCTCTCTCTCGCTTCACCCTCTCCACCGCTCGCAATGCACGAGCTTTCTCCTCAGGCGGGCATCATCTCACTCGTGCCACCTTTCTCCATCTGTCCGCAAGAAGCCGCGAACGGGTGGGTGCGCACGCCTCGAGAATTTCAAGGCACCGACAATGTGGACAGCACGTACCCGCTTGCGACGCGATTGCGCCGACGGGCGAGATGCTGTCGTGACGTGCTTCTCTCTAATGTGCGTGCACCTTTCCCGGCTGTCCCTGGCGTTGCAAGGGTGGGAGAAGCCGATCGTGTTCGCGAATGGCGATGTCAACACTGACGAGGCGCGAGTTGGGGAAGCTGCCCGCAAGCGTCGGCAGCGACACGGACGAGGTGCGAGTCAAGAGCACAGATTGTGTTCGAGAATACAGACGGCACGCAGGTAACACCGACGAGACGCGAGCCAAGGAAGCCGAGCGCAAACGTCTTCAACGTGTCCCACCTTCCGAGTCTGCCTTTCAAACAAACAATTACTCGAGTAAACACTACACCAAGTTTCTCTCCAAACCGTTATTTGAGCACCCGCGTCAACACCCATTTCAACCGGGTTAACGCTGTGCGCACCACTGCTGCTTTGCATGCCATCAGAGTTCCTTACAGGAAGATGATCCATAGTTTTTCCCTCAGCTGAGCAAGAAAATGTGAAAAAAAAAAAAAATGCGGGTGATGATGCCATTATGAAATTCTTCCACCAAGGACCGTGACATCACAGATTTTGACACTGTCTACAAGGTCACACATAGTCCCTAATCAGTAAAATTTAAGAAAATTGTCGTCCCAGAAAGCCACTAAGCCGACATACATGGCCAAACTATGAAAAACACCTTTTGAACCTTTTGAAATTTTTGTGACGTCAAGCACAAAGATTCTGGTATGAAAGACTAAACTTTGACCTAAATTTTCTTTCTATAAACAAACCTATGAAGGTGCAATTACTGACATTACAGTTCTCTTTTTGCTTTTCTTCAGTGTCCCTACAAATTGTAGATTGACCAAGTAGAGAAACAAAGAAGGATAAAAATACAAGCTCTCACACTTCAGAGACGATGGTCGGGGGTAACTGTAGGTGGTCTCCCGCAAGAATGCACTTGGGTGCTCGAAAAAGAGCCATCCAGCAGGCAACTTCCAGGGCCTGCACATCACAAATAACTCAGCCGCTGCACGGCGAAGGTCTCTCACAACAGAGCATATTTCTAAAATTTACTTTTCTTGGTGGAATATTATGCACAGATCTATAACACGTGTGTTGCATTGCAAAACTGGAATTCCGGTAGCCACCGATATCAAACATCTTTGTAACACACTGCTACAGATGCACTAGTGCAGTGTAGGCTTGTGTGAATAGCAAGTTTTAGGTTCAAAGCAAATGATGATTCAGACTGAATAATTTTGAATTGCGTTTGAATAGTACATGTTACAATATTATAAAAAAGAATAAGCATACTTGTCATACTGACTTGCACAGTATTTTTTATTAAATTGAAAGAAGGCAGGTGCAAACATCATTCAAAAAAGGAAGTGGACGTAACTTTGAATAGTAGCAGGATTTGACTTTCAGTAGTAATAAATTGTAAAATATGTTTAATTTAATGTACTCTACTGTAAAGGGACACTAAACAACAAAACAATTTTTTGCATTTTTTGTGAAGTACACTTTCACAGTCCTGAAAACACCACTATGACCCAAAGACAACGCTTGGTAAGGAAGAAAATGTGCGAAAAGAAAATGCAGGTGGAGATGCCACCTTGAGATTCCCGCTTGAAACACCGCGGCGTCATAGATTTTGAAGCTGTTCACTGGGTCCTACATAGCTTTTATTCGATAAAAATTAAGTACGTAGTTATCTGTGGGTGCAATAGACCTAGCATAGGAAGTTTCAGAAAATTTCACTAGGCCAATGTTGTGAAAATATGAAACATAACTTTGGAAATTTTTCATGCCTCGCAAGAAGATAAAGGCACAAAATGTAGAAATTGAACTTCAACCTTGATTTTCTCTGCTAATATTAAAGTTATGATAGTGAAACATATGACATTAGAGTTCTCAGAGTGCACTTTATCAATCTAAACAAGTCACTGTTTCTCTTTAGTGTGCCTTGAAAAAAACCTTGGACTGTGCTGGCGACAAGATTTCCTGTCAATTCAGCAGCAACGAAGAGGCCTTCATTGCATGTCAGAAGCAATATATTTTTTTTTCACATTGAGAACAAATTGCTCTCCTTATTACCACAATTGCAAGCTTTCTATTTACCAGCTATATTATGAAAATCAAGGTGGCGTTATGCATTTTTCCTTTTTTGGCTACAAAAACAAGCTGTGAGTTCCAGACGAGGAAGCAGCAGAATCATGTGATGCCATCCTGTGTGACTTGACACAAATGTGTCGGTCTTCAACAGCCTCAACCTTTCCTCGACCCGTCACCCACTCTCTTAAAAATCACCAATTTTATATTGCTATCTCATATAAACATTGGTGGTACCTTTGTGTTGTAAGAAAGAGCACAAAAATGCTCAATGACGCATGACATCATAACCGAAGGGAGACACATCGGCGGACCGTTTGTCAAAAGATTCGTGGCAGTGTGAAAACACGGGCCTTCTCAGGCAATGCGGGGTGCTCAGAGTAGCGGGGGACAAAGGATGGAGGGGTGCGTAACAAAAAATGGCCTAGGAAAATGACAACTAGAGGGCTGCGATGGCAGATTTATATTTTTATTTTTATTTATTTATTTATTTATTTATTTATTTATTTATTTATTTATTTACAATACTGCCAGTCTCTTACGAGACCAAAGCAGGAGGGCATGAGTATCAGAATACAATGAATGCTAAGTACTTTCTTACAGGCGGCATACAGAACTGTAGTTATTTTAAAATTGGTAATAATAATCCTAGTTACATAGAAACATTAGACATAGGTATTTATGCACTCCAAATATTCACACTTCGGAAGCAGCGAACTGAATCTTTGCTGCATAAAAAGAATCAATACAATTTTATACAGAGAAGGCATTGTGTATACTTATACATCCAAATAAATACTACTGGAAAACAATAATGGAGGTCATGGTTGAAGAAAGCCGTTGTCTTAAAGTATAGTCTCAATTTTTGAAGTGAATTCTGCCAGTGATGGTGCGTTAGTAATGGAGGGATCTAACCTATTCCATTCGCTGATTGACAGGGGGAAAAAGGATTGCTTGAAACAGTCGTTGTTGGAAGAGTATTCTTTGATAGTGTATGCATGTTTATGTCGTAGTGTTCGTGATTCTGCCAAAGATATGTACCTGGATGCATCGATTCGGCTGTGGTTATGCAGAATGTGGTGTAGAAATTTGAGACGCGCGATTTTTGCTCTTGTTGCAAGCGTGGGTAGACCGGAGGTTTCTAAAAGGTTTGTGGGCGAGTCGGTGCGTTTGTACTTATTATGTATAAACCTAATGGCCTTCCTTTGAACCCGTTCAACTTTTGCTATATTAGTAACACCTTGCGGGAACCACACAGTGTTAGCGTACTCCAAGATTGGTCACACGAATGTGGTGTAAGTTAGGAGCCTAGTATCTGTCGGCGCGAAGGGTAAACGCCTTCGTAGAAAAAACAGTTTACGCAAAGCCGATGCTGTAACATTGTTAATGTGCGCATCCCATCTCAATTCGGAAGTCAAGGTGACGCCAAGATACTTCTGCTGCGTAACTCTTTGTAAAAATACGCCGTTAATTGTATAGGTAAAGTCGGAGGGTTCTTTTTTCCTGGTTACCGTCATGCAAACTGTTTTTGTTAGGTTAATTAACATTTGCCACTGCTCACACCAGTGAGCAATCTTACTCAATGAATTATTTAAAGATAAATGGTCATCCAAACTGTTAATTGCTCTATAAATAATGCAGTCGTCTGCGAAAAGTTTAATTTTGCAGTCTATGTTATCAGTGATATCATTTATGTAAATTAGAAATAATAATGACCCTAGGATGGAGCCTTGGGGAACACCTGACTTAACTGGGGCCGTCCACGACGATACTCCTTCGAAAACCACGAACTGTGACTGGTTTATAAGAAAGTCTCTTACCCAGTTCGTAATTTCCCCATCCCCAATGATGTTCTGCAATTTCGAAATCAGTTTAGTATGACACACTCGATCGAACGCTTTTGCTAAATCAAGTAGAATTACGTCAGTTTGGCCACGGTTGTTTATACTGAGTGCAAGGTCGTGGACAACCTCTGTAAGCTGCGTGATTGTTGATAAACCTTTCCGGAAGCCATGTTGATGGGGGGACAGAAGATTGTTGTTTTCTAGAAAAATAGTTAAATGCTTAGCGATTATATGCTCTAGTATCTTACATGACGTACTGGTGAGGGATATAGGTCTAAAATTAGAAGGAACAGCGGTATCTCCGGTTTTGTGTATGGGTATCACCTTTGCTACTTTCCATTCTGATGGCAGTTTTGCTGTTTCTATAGATTTGCGATAAATTATGCCGAGGTATTTACTACACAGTTCTGCGTATCGAAAAAGAAATTCATTTGCAATATCATCGTGGCCACTGGCTTTCTTCGTGTCTAGATTCAAAAGTAGGTTAAGAATCCCGGGGTCGCTTATAACTAATGGTTCAATGGGAATTCGGGCTGTAGGCAATGCCGCAGGAGTGGTGCCATTGTCATCAGTAAAGACAGATTGAAAATAATCATTGAAGATATTGGCCTGGTTTGTTTTATCGCTATCGCTTAAACACATCTTTGTTTCAGCGGCAGGGCGAAAATGTTTCCAGAATCGTTGAGGGTTGTTTTTTATGTAACACGGAAGCGTTGAAGTAAAATATTGCCTTTTGGCGAAGCTAGCTTTTTGTTTGAAGTCTGTAATAGCACGTGCTAGGTTAGATGCGGTTACTGGATTCTTGCCCTTCTTTTTGATTGCTTGGCGTAGCCTCTTAACTTTTCGCTTTGCGTGTAAAACTTCGCGGGTTATCCAAGGATTATGTTTTTTTTTGCCTTTTTGTTTTCAGTGGGACAAAGTGGGTAACGCAGAACACAACGATAGTCTTGAAGCCCGACCATAGATGATTTACATCAGTCGTTGGATGTATACCAAGGTTTGAGAAGTTTTCAAATTCGTGAGCTAAGTAGGTTACAATGCTGGCATCATCACCTTTAGGGAAATTTCGTACAGTAGTTACTGATGAACGTGGTGTTATGTCATATCCTAGTTGGAGCTGACAGATTGGTATGCGGTGATCTGATATCCCCGGAATCACATTGACGACTGATTTATTTAACGGGAACTGGCCACTAATCAATATAAGGTCGAGTAAGGTTTTTGTTTGATCTTTTATACGTGTTGGCGCAAGCACGACTTGTTGTAGATTGAAATTTAAAATTAAATCAATAAGTGTCTCCGATGACTGTGACGTGTACTGCATGTTGTTCCAATTTATGTCGGGAAGGTTAAAGTCACCCATGATGATTAGTCGAGAGTTATGGGCATGAGTTTGAAGATAATCTTGGATCGCTATAACACATTTGTTGTCTGATGAGGGGCTTCTGTAAACGCACCCGGTTACTATGCTAATTCCATCACAATGAATTTTACAGAAAACCGCCTCTGCGCCTATAACATCAGGAAGCACGACAAAAGGAATCAATTTGCTTATCAGCAGGGCCACACCCCCACCACGTGTGGGACGATCTTTCCGGATTACAGCGTACTCCGGGGGAGTGAATTCGTCGTTTGAGATATCAGTCGTCAACCATGTTTCCGTGATGGCGACTATGTGTGGCTCTTGATCAAGCAGTAGTTGTTCAAGGCTTGCTGATTTATTTAGTATACTGCGGGCGTTTACGGTTAGTAACGTTATTTCTTTGATTGGGCGTGTTGTCGCGTCTTCGGGCGGTTTACTATGCCGTTTTTTTCTACTGGTACCCTTTCACCCTTTTCGTCGTCCCAGACAAAAGCGACATTGTTAATATAAAGCTTGGTGTATGCTAGTGCGACTTTGTCTTTTTTTTTCCCGATTAGTTTTGGCGCTGTCCCAAAGCTTTTTCCTTGTCTCACGGGTTTTGCGAGCGAAATCCTCCCCTATAGAGAGGTCAGTATTCTTGAGCTTGAAGCAATTCTTCAAAATACTCCCTTTCTGTCTCGAGTCAAGAAGCTTCAGAATCACTGGTCGTGTCTTGTTTGGCGCATATCTGCCTAATCTATGAATTCTTTCAATTTGAACCGGCTCCAGCTCAAGAACACTTTCTATTATACCTTTGTTAACTGCTTGTCCCAGTTTATCGCTTGTTTCGTCTTTCATTTCTTCTAGGCCATAAATAATTAAGTTTGACCGACGGCTGCGGTTCTCAAGCTCCTCAACTCTTTGCTCAAGCGTTTTAATTGTGCTATTCATGGCAAAAACCTGGTCATTGCAGGCTTTAAGTTTTTCTTCTAGTGCGCCTAGAGCGTCCAGTTTATTTTCAATATCCGCTAGTCTCTGTTCCTTAATTTCCTTAATATCTGCGGAAATTACATTCAGTAGCTTGATGATTTATATAAATATATGGACACTTTGCCGATAGCTTATTGGTGCTCCTGTGAATTCATCATAGCGCCAACTACATTTTCTGTAACCGATCGGCGGCACTTATAGACGTTCATTGTACAGTAATTGCGATTTTGTGCCATTGAAGTAATGTATACTTTCAAAGTCACGCGGGTATTGTTCATTTTAAGTGAAAGTTTGTTTAAAGTGGGGCTCAACTGTATTCGCTTTTTGATCAACGATGTTCACAAGTGAGAACAATGGTAAGGACAGACAAGACTCGTGTAAGAGACTAAGATAAGAAGTGTGCAGTCATACATGGCACCTCGCACAACTTGAGAAAGATAGGAAACGAATACGAAATACACATTTTTTTTTCAGCTCCTCAGTGCTTATTGGATCTTTCCAAACGAGTAAATCAAATGGGTCGTACGAAGGTCAGCTGACACATAAATCATTGAGATCAGTTTGTGTCATATTCTGAGGGAGAGGTTATTTCATTCCCCTGTGCTGCGGACGCACTTACTTCGGCCAGACGTTAATAAAAGGTTGTTAAAACATAAATACAATGTGACACACCTGAGCATCCAGTGCCGATATTGTGACTGCATGCCCCAATACAACAGCACAAAAATTGTATGCCAGTCTGGTAATAAAGTGATGCCAGAAATAGCCCACAATATCATTAACCTAGGAGTCAACAGTCAATGGGTCTTCTAGAAGTATGTACCGTAAAATGCCGAGTGAAAATTGCATGATTGCATGAAAATTGCACGACTGGGTGGGCTATTGTTCAGTTCAACTGCAGACTAAATATTACAGCTTTTGCTTTCACTTGCTCATTAATATTTGATTGCATAATAATAGGTGATTCAGCAGATAAAGCCAATCTCTACTGCAGCTCAAAGATGCAGAAAAGCTTTCAGGTACAAACTATGCTAAAGACTGATTCCCATGAGCAATGATGAAAAACACTCCTGGAGTGGTTCACACACAGATAACATAGAAGTGCCCAACGACATTAGAAAGCCTACTTGCAAGGTTATGTGTGCTTAATTCTTCAGACTGCTTTAAAATAAAAAAGTGGACGTTTTTCTTTGCAAATTTTGAAGCAATCACTGCTCGTTGAAAATTTTAATCAGTTTATGATAGGTGTGTCTCTATAACTACTTTCACAACAACTTAGGTGACATGATTATGTGACCTTAAAATGTGCCTGAAAAAAACAAAACAAAAAAAAACATCTTTTAGAATTTTTATGAAACAGATAATACAAAACCTAGACAACCTTACATAACACATTTTATGTGCACACTTTGCAACAATGCCACTTCAACATGCCTAACAGAGACGAGCTCGGATGTACTATGTGTGATGCCTTCTGGCAGTGGAAACAGCGCTTGACTACAGTGCTTCAGTGATGCATAACTATATGGTTAGTCCTAACTGCAAACTGTACGCATGCTCAGTAGCTCGCAGGTAAAGTTGCCCACCTGTGAGCATTCATCAATGATGGCTACTTGGAAGTGGCCCTGGGGCAGGTTCTTTAGTGGTCCGTCGTCCGAGGCTGTGGTCAGTGTAGACAGCACCACGTCGGCATTGGCGAGAATACGACCCACGGCCCTGCGCTCACGATCTTTGAGTTCCTTGCGTAGCTCCGACAGCTTGCCACGTGTCTGATATCCCTTGTCATTGGCCTTGCTCTTGGCAGACGAGAACTGCAAGGATAGATACATACCATGTTAAGCCACATAACTTGCACTTTTCTTCACAGAACTGCAAGGATAGATACATACCATATCTAGTCACAACTTGCACATTTTTTTTCACAATTTTTGAGCTCTAAATAGGAGTTGCACAAATTACCTGGAGATTTCATGAACGCATCCAAAAATAATGTGCAATAGTATACTGTCATGAAGTCATGACGCGTACGAAGACAAAAGTATGTTTCTTGAAGATGAACCACTTTAGTTGGTTGAACTTGTGGCCCCACAAATGAAGGTCGTATTACAGCAAACAATGCGACCCTGATGTCGGTGCACAGTGCGTCGGTCGTCAATTATCAAATCATCAATGAAGCATGTTGGCCTTTATACATGTGCCGTCGAATATTCCAGCATTATCGCTAGTCGCCACATAAGTTTCAGAAGAAGCTGTAATGTTTGCGTTGTGTGAGTAACCACATCGAAAGGCTTTAATTCAAAAGTTCCTAGTCAATCAGCGTGGTTTGCGCAAGGCAGCCCCTACACGTGCAACGGGGCGATAACAAAACTTGAGAAAGGAGTGCGGCATTACTCCTCTTTAAAAAAGCATCATCCCAATACTTTAACAGATGATGAAAGGAGAATACTTAAAGTAAAAAATGTACAATAAACAATGAATACAAGCAATAAAAAAAACAATAATAAAGTAAGAAGTACGGTCCACAAGTTTTATAAAGCGTGTAAAACGGCTTGAGGTGCACCACATGCACCTGCAGTCTAGGATAGCCTCGTAGTCTAGAGCGCCTAGACGTCGAAGCATCTTATATAGCCCAAAGTATCGTTGAAGGAGTTTTTCACTAAGTCCACGTTGTCGTATAGGTGTCCACACCTAAACCCAGTAGTCTGGTATTACATGAAGCATCGTCAAAGATTGTAATTGTGGCAGTTAGTCACCTGCTGATTCTTGATGTGTGAGCTGTCAGGCTTCTTCGACGTGCTGCAGGTAGGTGGTGATGTCAATTTTTTCCTCATCGGTCACTTGTGGTAACATGGCATCGAGCATCATTACGGGCTTTGTCCGTATATCATCTTGTATGGCATTATCTGTGTCGCTTATTGTACGGCCGTGTTGCATGCAAATGTCACACATGGAAGGATGGCATCCCATGTCTTGAGCTGAACATAGACGTACACGGCCAGCATATTGGTGACGGTCTTCTTTAGACACTCCATGAGGGCATTGGTGGTCCAGCGGTGACTTGTCTGGCTGTACGTCAAGATCGCTTGAGTTATAGATCAACTGAGCTATTATCGCCTGTGTTATAGCACCAAATTACGCATCTTTCTGAAGTATTTATTAAATTAACAAACTCCATCTTGTCTACAGAAATATTTCCCGACAAAATGAAAATTGCTAGAATTACTGCTTTACATAAGGGGGGCTCTCCTTCAGTAATATCAACAATTATAGACCAATATTGATCCTTCCGTGTTTTTCGAAGATTGTAGAAAAAGTGATTAACAATAGATTAGTGAACTACTAACAGGTATAACTTGCTCTCTGAACATCAATATAGTTTTCAGAAAAGCAAACCTACCGAGAGTGCTTTACTCAATATTAGAGAAAAAATATCAGCTAATATAAGGAACCTATTGCACAATGTTGGTATTTTTTTGAACTTTAGGAAAGCATTTGACTCGATTAAACATGAAATTCTCTTTGCTAAGTCACCAGATTGGGCAATCAGAGGCATAACTTTAAATCTGATACAGAGCTATTTGTGTAACTGAAGCCAGTTTGTTTAAATACTAATATCAAGTCCGACTTGCAAACCACTATGCATAGCATGCCGCAAGGTTGGGCCTATCTTGTTCCTTACATACATAAATGATATTGCCACGTTCCATTTCACAAGTTTTTGTTATCGTTCCGAAACACCACACGATTCTCAGCGCAAACCGCGCCTGCAGGTTTCGAGAAGGTTCCGCACTGTAGTAGATCATTTCGATAAGATCACGCCCACTGTGCGAACGGTACAGATTGTTCTGGAACCTACGCCACCGCCAGCGATAACGCTAGAACATTCGACGGCAAGGGTATAAATGCCGACGCGCTTCGCCGCTTGTCAGTTGTTGATCGAAGGCCGACGCTCCGTTCGCCGCTTGTCAGTTGTTGATCGAAGGCCGACGCTCCGTTCGCCGCTATCAGTCCGAGACTGCTATCTGTGCGAGACTGCTGCTGTAATTGGACTTTCCATTTACCGGGCACAGGTTCGCCCAAATAAACAGTTAAATCCCAACACGAAGTCTCCTGTCTTCGGCCACGTCACGACCCCGTGACATCTGGTGGAGGTGCTGCTTCGTTCATGTACCGGACGCCCCCGTCAAGCCGTGAACCCAGCCCACGTCGCGGAGAAGACACCGACGCCAACCAGGAGCAGCGAACAAGCCGCCGACAGCAAGGGCTACCACCGGAGTACGGGATTCTAGAAGACAAGGTGCGGAAGACCAAGGCCATGACCGCGACTGCAGCGACAATGACAACCGCCGCATCCCAGCCCACGATGGTCATGCATCAACCTAGGGAACCACCAATTTTTCATGGGTCATCGTTCGAAGACCCGGAGTCCTGGCTAGAAACATACGACCGTGTGCCCTCAACCACTGGGACAACGAAGAAAAGCTCCGTCGTGTGTACTTCTACCTGGAAGACACCGCAAAGACCTGGCTAGAAAATCGTGAGTCCACGCTCCGAACGTGGGATGTCATCTGCGGCGCATTTCTGCAAACGTTCGCGAGCGTCGCTCGCAAAGAAAGGGCCGCTGCTCAACTAGAGACCCGGGTTCAGCTACCAAATGAGAAGGTTGGAATTTTCACAGAGGAGATGACCCGCCTATTTCGTCACCCTTACCCAGACATGCCTGAGGAGAAGAAAGTTCGTTTCCTCATGCGAGGGGTCAAACAGGAGCTCTTCGCGGGACTAATGAGGAATCCACCGAACACCGTCCAAGAATTTGTATCCGAGGCGACCACCATCGAAAAAACCCTTGACATGCGCACCAGACAGTATAATCGTCGCCTGACTCCAGAATGCGCTGCTGCTCAAACCAGTGACTCCGAAAACCTGCATGAAACGATCCGAGCGATCGTGCGGGAAGAGCTGCGCAAACTGTTGCCTTCGGCGCACCCTCAAGTGGATTCGATCGCCGACATTGTGCGAGAAGAAGTTCGGCAATCACTTCGAATTCCCCAAACACCGCTGCCTGAGCCAGAAACTATGAGCTACGCCCCTGCAGTGAGCCACAACGCTCCTCCCCGTCCACGCCAAAACGCCGCCCCGTCGCACTTCCGTCGCCGGACACCACCGCCGCCACCAGCCCCACCGACGACCTACCGTTCACCAGCGGGCCATCGCAGTGCGCCGAGGAAAACCGACGTTTGGCGCACCCCTGACCACCGCCCACTGTGCTACCACTGCGGCGAGGCCGGGCACACTTACCGCCGTTGCCAGTACCGACAGATGGGACTGCGTGGCTTTGCCGTCGATGCACCACGTCCGCAGCCAGGGGAACGGCCACGTGACATCGCCGACTACCTGACAGGAACTCAATGGACACCCCGAAGTCCTTCCCGTTCGCCGTCGCCCAGCCGCCGCATGTCACCGCACCCCCGGCAGTACTCCGGCCCAACGCGGGGCCGGTCTCCTAGCCCGTATCCGGGAAACTAAGGGCAGCAACCGGTGGAGGTGCGGTTGCTGTGCGACGAACTACCGAAGATCCTCCGACGACGACGACGCCGCGACGGAGCTTTCCGAACACAATGCCAACCAGGCAAAGCCCTGACGGCGAAAGCTCACTTACCGGAGGTGGCCTGACGACGCAACATGGAAGCAGCGGATCAAGCCGACGCAGCCATGACCCGATGCCACGCCCTAACTGTAATGCGAGACGGAGAACTAGCGACATCGACGTTCTTATTGACGGCCACAGTGTGACCGCTCTCGTCGATACTGGAGCCGACTATTCTGTCATCAGTGGGTCGTTCGCCGCGAAGTTAAAGAAAGTTAGGACAGCTTGGAAAGGCCCTGAAATCCGCACAGCCGGAGGTCATCTTGTAACGCCTGCAGGAATCTGCACAGCGAGAGTCACCATTAACGGCCGTATTTATCCTACAGACTTCGTAGTCCTACAGCGTTTCTCGAGAGATGTCATCCTTGGCATGGACTTCTTATGCCTCCATGGTGCTGTCATCAACCTAAAAACAAAGTCGATAACGTTATCCACAGAAGAAGCACTACCACCGCGCACGCCGTCAGGACACCATGCCTTGAATGTGCTGGAAGAACAAGTCACCATTCCGCCTCGCTCAAGCGTCATTATTTCAGTCGGCGCTCCTAAATCACCTGACTTGGAAGGCGTCGTTGAAGGCAGTCAGCATCTGTTGGTCACCCGAAATATTTGCGTCGCAAGAGGAATAGCAGAGCTGCGGGGAGGCAAAGCAACGGTTATGCTGACGAATTTCAGCAATGAGTACAAACATGTGAACAAAGGAACAACGGTCGCATACATCGAAGAAATTGTCGAAGCGACCAGTGCTTTCGCCCTCGCCGATTCTGCGGAACCTGCTCAGAGGAACCAAGCCCCTCCTCTAGCTTTCGACGTCAATCCCAGACTACCGAACGATAAGCAAGAACAGCTCAAGGCCCTGCTCCTGCAATACGAAGATTGCTTTTCGTCGTCATCGAAAATTCGGCAGACCCCAATCACGAAACATCGCATCATAACCGAAGAAAATGCCGGACCACTCCGTCAGAGTCCGTACAGGGTTTCGACGCGAGAACGTGAGGCCATGAAGAGACAAGTTGATGAAATGCTGCGGGATGACATTATCCAGCCGTCCAAGAGTCCATGGGCATCCCCCGTGGTGTTAGTGAAGAAAAAGGATGGGACCCTACGTTTCTGCGTCGATTATCGCCGCCTGAACAAAATCACAAGAAAGGACGTGTATCCTCT